AGCCAATAATTGGAGAAACACAGTTAATGTGATGAAAGCAGCTGGTTTGCAAATACAGATCCTGTATTAAAGCCTGTTGTAGAGTTTGTTATTGTGGTGGTAGTCAGAATTGAGAAAATCCATGCAAAACTTACATTTTCACCATTTTAGGAATGTAAGTCACAAATGATGCTGCTATGCTAGGAATTCTAATACCTCTAAAATCAACCATCATTCATTTATTGTGCACCACTGTGCAAAAGACACTGGGTAAAGGCAACATTTCAGACATTGCTCATTTTATACCAAGAGAATTACTTAAGGCATAACTGTAAGTCACCTCCAATATAAGAAAACACGTGGTAGGACCTTTATGAATAATCTAGATAGTAAATATTCTTAAAGTTTGGAGGAGATGATGACCATCCTAGGGATGGTCTAGACAGTACCTTGTCATCAGACCTCATGTAGCTTATTTAGCTTCAGGAGTTTTGGCTTTAAAGTTCTTTCTTTTCTTTCTTTCGTGTGAGTTAAATTAACATGACCATTCATATTAGAAGAGAAATGAATATATTTATTATGGCATTTCATCTCAGATGGCTTTAATATTATGAATTGCTTTTAAGAACAACTTGTAAGGCAAGTAAAGACTTTTCTAACGATCTGCATGAATACCATGTGGCCTGAAGTAGTATCTTGGTGGTCTAAGTCCGTTCACAAGGAAAGAACAACTTATTACAATTATTGTGGAAGAGCCTCGAGGTAGAGGGGTTGCAGCATTTCCCGTCAGAAATGTTAAGCAAGGAAAAGGACCAGAGATGAACTGAATAAGCAATCCCTGGAGAGACAGAACTATTACATATTTTGAACTGTTATGGTGAAATACTATGAGTAGTTGGGTAAAATATAAACTGTGGAGTGCAATTGGTGGGAAGGAATCAGAAAGAACAAGTAAGAATGCTGTCTGAGCAATATGTGTGAATTATTAGAACATAATTCAACATTTCCCAAGGTTTGAATGTTCTTTCAGCATTCTGTGCAATTATTAAAAATTACTATAAACATATAACCACCACGGGAAAGCATGCTTGTGAAATAATAAAAATTTAAGATTAAATTCAGTTGTATAGAATACAAACACTACACATGAAAAAGACTGAGAAAAGCTTGGATACCAAAACATAAAAGTTGTGGTGGCTGGTAGACTAAAGGTGATTTTCTTTTGGTCTTCCCAGATTTTCCATAATTATATTGTATTTATAATTCTAAAAAACAGTACTTTTATTCAACAAATATTTCATGGCTTTATGGTGGACTTACAGGTATATTACATATTATCTTTAATCTCAAGTTACCCTAAGTATAGTAAGAGGGCAAGGCATAAAATCTCACAAATAGTATGGTTTTGATAATGTAAGAGGGGCTCAGGAAGTTGGATGAAACATATTCATGTAAGTCTGGTGTGATTATGAAGGCTTAATGAAGGCAGTAGAGTTTGAACTGGACTTGGAAGGACAGAATTTTAATAGTTTTGCACACAAAATGGCATTCTCTGGGGGAGAAAATGCATAAGCAAAAGGGAGAAGATGGAGACACATAGCTGTATTTATGGGACAGGAAATATCACATTGCCTAATAAAGTAGTAAAGCAAAGTGTGACTTGAAAGTGAAGTTGAGGCCAGATTTTGTGGTGTCTTGTATGCTAGGCTAAAAACTGGACTACCATACAAGGTATAACTGGTTTTCATATATTTTACATCTGGTCTTCATAATAACATTTTGAGGAAGAGATTATTGCTTCAGATACAGATGACAAAGTAAAGTTGGAGAAGCTAAATAATCCTCTGAGACCACAGATCAAGTTTCCTCCTGTCCCTATAATCTTCCTAGTTGTCCATTCATGCCAACAAAGTTGCATTTGCTAGAATACATCATAATTGTTCACTTTTTCCTCCAGCACATTCTACTTTTGTGTAGAAAAAGCAGCCACCAGGAAATACTGCCTGATTTAAAATGATTGATTTAAGAAATTTCTTTGTAGGCAGAGGAGTATGATGGTTTGAGAATGGCCTTACATTAAAGGCTTGATATCAATCCTAGTTTTGCTATCTATAAGCTTTTTAACCTTGTAAGAGTTTATACTCTTCATTGGGTATAGTGGCACACACCTCTAATCCCAGCACTTTAGGAGACTGACGCAAGAAGATCAAAAGTTCAAGCACAGCCTGGACAATTTAGTGATTTATCAAGACCCTGTCTCAAAAATTAAATAATAAAAAAGGTCTAGGATGTAGCTCAGTGCAAAGGCCTTGGATTGAATTCTCAATACTGCTGTGGGGGCAGTTTATACTCTTTCTGAGCATAAGTGTCCTTGCCTTCAATATACTGGCTGATGCAGCAAGGAGACTCTTGCCAGACACAGCACCTTGATATTGAGCTTCTCAGCATCCATAACTATGAACCAATAATTTTGCTTAGTATAAATTAGCCAGTCCAATAAATTCTGTTATAGCAGCACAGATGGGCTAAGATCATCTCTATTAAGAAACTCCAACCAATACATGGTAATTCTTTGTCATTCTACTGACAGTTACATAAAGCAAACATACTATGGGGATGGAAATATTTTTCTTACATTGACCATTCTGCTGCCTCTTAGCCATTTTATTTTCCACCAAGGTGTCGATATTCTATGACAGGTACTTTTAGGAAGTCAAGCTTGATCAGTGGTGATCGTGCCTGTCTATGGGAACTCAGCCTGACAATATACTTGTCAGCATGTGTTAGTTAGCACGGGTGTGCTTCGCTCATCTCATTTTGTTTTTATTTTTAATTTTTAACTACTGGTGTCCTAGACTTACATTGCTTTGTTACATTGATTTGTCATTGGTAACTATAAAATGGTGTGAAAACAAGTAGAAACTATATTTCAAAATTTGGTTTTTGATCTTTCCTCAGGTTAGTGATCTATAGTGATATTTTCTTATAATGCTGGCAGCAGAAGGTCCTGGTGGGCCACATGAGGTAAGCAAATGATGGTCTACAGTGCACTAGGTTTCTCAGATAGGATGTTTGGTAGGTTAGGTATATCAATTGTACTTCTAATTTGCAGTATTTTCAGTTTACAGTGGGTTTATTGAGATATAACTTCATCAAAGGACATAATTCTATTTGAATATTTGACTGAAAGAAGTCTGACATTTGTAATAATACCTTTTGGGATATGTACAATAAATACTTGATACTGACCATGTTGACAATAATGACGACTTGTAAAGTGGTGTATGTGTCATTTATTGGGGAAAATGTAAGTTTAGCTGAGAGAGAAGTAAGACGGATCCTCATTTTGAGGCCACAGACACAGCTTAATTAATTAAATAATCTGGTGCCTATTCCTGTTCACCTGGATTTAAATCATATTCTTAGAATTATCTTTTGTATTTTGCTTGCTCAGTATATTTCCTCTTTTGATCCCAAATTCCTCTAAGTGCTAACTAAATTGAAGATATATAGTCTTGGGCTGGGGAATTAGCTCAGTGGCATTGTGCCTGCCCTGCAAGCACAAGGTCCTGAGTTCGATCCCCGGTACCACCAAAAAAATAATAAAAAAAATAGTCTAACTATTGGCTTAATGTAGGGGGCTTCTCGAGATAATTTGAGAATTTCCATAGCTGCTCATAATGTCTGGCCGGCACCAAAGTTTTGGGGATTTCAAGGTATTTGAAAGAAGCCTCACAGCACCTGGCCACTGGCTTAGAAGATGGTGGTGCAGGCCACTTTTGGGAAGGGTTTTTCTCTAGTAGGCTATAGCATAGAGAGCAGATCCAGAGGAAGAAGAAAGAACCCCCCCTTACTCATGGGGGTTTCATGGATACTATGGAGTATCAGAAAACCCTTCAGCTCTGTTTAATCATCAGTGCTGAGACATCAAAGTAGATTCTGGTAAGCATCATAGTGGAGTCTTCCTAGCTTACCAGCTGCAGACACTGGCTCCTGACTGCATAGCTCTCTGCATGGAGAGCTGCCCAGTTACCACCTCCCGTGCCATGTCTTGATTCCCCCTATGTCTCCATGGTCTGACAATTACCCTGCACAACTTCTGTCAGTCAGATATTTTAAAAGAGAATTAAATTAAACACTATGTATTTAGGTAATTGATTTCATTAATGAGTGATTCACTTATTCTTTAAAAGTGTGCAAGTGTTTTTAATACATATCTACATATACCATGGTTCTAGCTATGATGCTTATAATAGTGTCTAAATATTTACTTGCTGGATCCTGAATAAGGTGTGTCTTATTGCAACATTCACATAGTGGAAAAATCAGGTTCAACTCATATGATTTTTAACTCAGAGCAATTTTTCAGAGTATTTTGTAATTCTTAACATCACCTGGTACTGTATACCTTTATATACTATGAGGAAGCAAAATAAACTTGAAGAGCATATCTGTAGAATAAAAGTATTCAGGCATTTTCATATTATAACCTTTCAAACACTTTAATGTAGAAAGCATTGTACATATACTTTATAAGTAGGACTATGAGACATTTGAATTAGTACATAAAGTTTTTATTTAAAGTTTTCCCCTTCCAAGCAAGCTTCATTTATACATTCTAATACTATACAAAATTTACATATTCTGTGACTTATTCACTTTTTACTTTCTAATAGTTTGTGTCTTTCTGAAATACAGAAAGTTTTACTTATAGTACTCATAAGTGCTTTTATTTAATTTGGCTAGAAAGAAAAAAAGAAAAGGAAGAACAAGTCTAACAAAGCAAATATTCTTGTATAAACTGTGACTTTTAAAGGAAATGGTGACTGTTGACAATCAAAGGTTTGGAAACAGGCCTCATTCTCTTCATATTCTCAGCTGAGATTTTCCTACAAAGTACTGTAGCCTTTATTTCTTCCTATATATTCATATGGTTTCAAGGAAAAAGCAATGAAAGTTGATTGCACTGGAGATATATATATATATATATATATATATATATATATATATAACAACGGATCCTTTGGATCTGAACATACAAATAAATACAAAAACAATGAAGATTGCACTTTACTGTAGAAACGGCATTGGATTCCAGTGTACCCACCCACCTTGACATGCTCCACAATGAAAGCTTATGACCAAGGCATTTTTAATCTGTCACTTTCCCATATTGTCATTTTGAACGCCACATTTGTTGAAGCATTCATCATTTCTGGGTGATTAAAAAAATATTTTAGGCTTTTATTTACTTCTAGCAGTTACTGGTCGAGCTCTGAAGAGCTTGAAAGTCAAAATCATGTTCCTGCCCGTTATCTCTTCTGATTGGCCACACTGAGACTACATCATGCTCTCCTAACCTTCTGTCCCTATATTCCTCATGCTCCTAAGGCAAGTAGCCATTGCTAACTTAACTGAGTTCAGGCATCTGTGGTGACGACAAACAAAATAATGAAGAATTGAGGGGAAGAATGAGGTGGAGTCAAGTGTCTGGAGCCAGCCACAGGTGAGGAAGAGGAGAAGTATTTTGTCAGGTGCTATGATGTTGTAAGTTGTGTGTTCTAGGTATAGAGAGACAGTTGAGATTTTACTTTAAGGAAATGATTCTTTCTTTTCATCCCTGAATCTCTGAAAGCAATCTCTAAGTTTTCATTGTGGATCAGGTTTGGGTCAGATGTTTTTTCCAACAGAATTTCTGGAATATCATGTGATTAAATTCGTCAGTTCTGTCTTTTGGAGCAAACAGCATGTGTGTTCACTACTTAAATACTGCAAAAAATAAGAAACTATAAGCCTCTGTGAACCTAATAGTGACGGTATTATGCTTTAGTTCTGATTTTCGAGTAGCATTGAGGACGCAGAAATTAGTACTCTGGCTAGCCTAGATCTAAAGGGCACAAAGCAACTGCTGTAAGAGCCAACAACTTACTCTTCTTTGCTCTCCTGAGGTGCTGTAAGGGCAGAAGGTATGTGAAATAGAGTTGTACACAAATAAAGGTGCCTCTCTTTAATCTTATATGATTTTCTGTAACTGTATTGCCTGTGGAGTCTGTGAAGTAGCCAAAGGTTAGGAATACAGAGTCAAGTGGCAATATCTGTAATGCAGTGTAAGTATTTCGGTGGGTCAGATTTTGAATCATCCATGTACACAATATCTCCAAAACTTCAACATCGACCACATGCAGGTAGACTACAATGCACAATACTGATCTTAAGTCTCTCTGGGGCCAGTATTCTGTATTTTCTCTTTCTCCTTTTGAAAGTTAAGATCCTCATGAGAAGTTTTTGTATAGCTGGGACAAGTTAAAACCAGTCTGAAATGGAAGAGTTTGTCACCATAGGAAGTTGGATGCTATCTGGACACAATATCTGCTCCAGAACAAGTCTGTTTCTTTTGTAGTTACTTGAAAATCATCAGAAACCAAAGGTGGGTTTTGGCAGTTGTACCATTAGAATGCACAGGTCCTATGAGAGAGTGACATCACCTGTCACTGCTTCCCAGGATGTGACACTGTCCGTTCCAGGCTTTCCTGGTATCATTTGTTGTAGGGCACACAGGCAGGCAGGATGACTGTGGCACAGGCTGGTCCTGCCAGGGGTTCTGCTACATCTCCTTCAAGTTCTGTCCAGCTTCCTTTTTCTGGACAGTAACATATTGTAGACGATTTATAGGCCCCCTGTAATGACAGAGCAGGAACATTTAGAGAAGGATTTTTTGAGAAGAGCAATGGTAATGTTATTCATCAAATTTGCTTTGGAGACAAAAGATCTCTCTGCTCTTGCTAGAAATTTCCAAATCAAAGCAGTTGACTTTAAACTGTTTTATTCCAAGCAAAACTTTAAAATGCACACTTCCCAATCTTTTTTTGATGACTAATAATAAAATTCAAATGAATACCTACAACATCATAGATACTCAACAAATCTTTTAAAATAATTGACCAAAATTGAAGTTGGCCACCTGGTTTACATTAAATAAATAAATAAAAAGATAAATTTACCTTAATATTCCAATAGTTGAAGTAAGTTTATTATCTCATTTCTTCAATTTTAATTTTTTACTGTGGGGAATCAGAGCTGGCATTGAAAATCAGTTTAAAGTAAACTGGAAATGAAGTCTTGTCAATTTCTTGGCACATTAATTTGTTTATTTCCAGAAGGATACACGAGAAATAAAAATGTATTTAATTTTGTGTCCTTTGTCAAATTTAGGGGCTCCTGCTTGTATAAAATTTTCCCTCCTCAAGCCAAAGCAGCTTTGTTTATATTTTAGACAACAAACAAAAAACCCAACCACTTGGTAGACATTTTCTGACAGTGTTTTCCTGGTGTTTGCTTCCAAACACATATACTTTTGTAGCTGACAATTTGCACCAGCAAACAAGCACACATACAAATGCTTAGTTATATATGTCAGAGCATATTTGCTGCCAAACAACTAATACTTTTATAAAACTCCCTAAAACGTAATTTTAGGATCATGTTTGCCACAGAAGAAATGAAAATAATATTAAAATCCTCAAGTGATCTTACAAAATGGACACAGATAAATGGAAAATATAAAAATGGCCATCATTTAAAAAGGGATTACGTAGACCAAGAGACCTGATATGTCTTCCGATGTGATGTAATTTAAAATACACAGCCTCCTTGTCAGGGGCCTTCTCCTTCCTGTAAAGAAGGAGACAAAGGGGAAGAAGGAGGAGGGTGGAGGAGGAGGAGAAGAAGAAAAGGAGGAGGAGGAGGAAAATGAAAAGTTTGAATTTAAGGCCTATCTTTAACTTTGGGTCTGCAGGATATACTGAAATGAAAACTATTTTAAATTATACCACAAGAAAATCATTAGCCAATTTTGAGCAAGTGTGGTGCCACTGAGCTACATCCCCGGCCCCTTCATTAGCCAATTTCAGAATATAGGGTGTTTTGTCTAATAACTGACCCTTGGGAACAAGTCAATGGTGTGGAACAAAAAGTGGGGCAGAGATAATGTTCCAGATTGCAAAGAGACCTATAATAACCAAATATGAGTAGACTTGTTGGAACATGATTTGAACATGCTAATTTTAAAAGTACATTTTTGTTTTTTCTAAGTCAATAAGGGAAATTTGAATATGGACTGTATAGAAGAGAATTATTGTTACTTTTGTTGGGTGTGATAAATAAAAGTGTATTTACAATTCAAATGTTTTAAGAGAAAAATACTGGGGCATTTAGGGTGAATAATATAATGTTGGGATTTGCATCAAGTTTCTTCAGCCAAAATATTTTAAAGGAGTGTTGATAAAATAAGCATGGCAAAATATTGATGGGTATTGATGCTGAATGATGAGTTAATGAGGGCACACAGTAAAGCCAATTTTTGCATATGTTTGGAAATTTTCATGAGAAAGAGGGAAAATAGTGAAATGTAAATTATACCTTCTAAATATAATTCATAGGTACTGAATAATTAATTTCCATTTTTCATGGCTGACTGTTCTGAAACTTTTCAGACTCTCCTATTCAATTTACACAGAGCATTTGTAAAATCACTTCAATTTGACTTTTAGTGGGAAAATCAGAATCACTGAAACATGGAGATAGGACAAACCTGAGGCCAAACCCATGTTGTGATGCAGTTGATCAGATAGCAACCCAGTTCACCAGTGTTCCTGTTAATTCTGTTTTACCACTTACAGTAACTTATGGCTTGCACCTAGACCTGATATTCTTAAGAGGTACATGTGCGGATGATACTACACGTGGAAGGAATCAAACAGAAAACATTGAGCACAAGCAGAGAGGAGGAGGCTGTTGCAGATGTGGACATACCATACTCCAGCTGTAGCCTCCCACAAGGTAAATGCTGTCATCAAGCACTGCACAACCAGGACCACTTCGACCCTCCAGAATAGGAGTTTGCAGAATATTCCACTGGTCACCTTTTGGGTCATAGCATTCCACAAGCATTACATCTAGGTGGGAGAAACCTAAGTAACATTGGAAAATGGAACCACAAAAGAATAAACTGTTAAGTCCCATATTTAATGTTAGGACTTTTTTTTTTAAAGGTTCAAGAAGTAGATAATTGTGTCTTTGAAGATACAAAGGTATAAATTCATTGATGAAATTGGGAGCCTTTATCAGAAAGATCTAAAAATACACCAAGCAAATTCTCTGTGCTTTGGATTAATTCAAAGCAAGAAATCCTGAGTAAATATCATTAGTAAGGTTGATTATATGGGGGTAGATCATATAAAAATGTTTTATTAAAATGTTATTTTGAAAGGTTTAAGATAAGAATAGTTAAGCAAGCATTTTTATGAAGTATGTACAGCAGGCTAGTTTTGTTTTCTAAGTGCTTTGTCTAAATTGAAGTCATTCCCTTCCATTACTCTATGAGATACCTACCACCATTATTTTCACTTGATAGATAAAGGAACTGAAGGACAGAGAAAGTCAGTGACTTTACTCCATCACAAGCAGGTAAACAGATAGGCTGAGATTAAAAAAAACCAAAACAAACAGACCTCAGATCTCAGACTCTTACAGAGTTCACAATATTGCTTTTTTTCAATGAATATTTAACTCATTCAAAATATTTTGATTAATTAACAATACATTGCTCAGTGTCTTTTCCCATTTGTACAGTCTGTATTTGTACACAGCTCTAAATGACGTGAATGATCTCCAACTTCCTAAGATCAAGGTTTGGAGCAGGGGCTGAGGTGCTTCTCCTTCTCCTTTTCCTTCTGATACACCTTCTCAGAGATGGAGGCAGTAACCAGGTCACCAAGAACAGTATATGTAGGTTGCTGAACTTCCTTGGAGTCCCACTTTTAATTTTTTTTTTTGGGGGGGGGAGGCCTAGGGCGAGCCTCATGGTCACTGAGCAGACCAAATGATTTTTTTCCCTCTAGTTAAGTGTATTTTATGGTTATTTGTTAGCTGACAATTGTAGTGCATATATTAAACTAACATACTGGACTATCCCAAATAACTGAGAAGACTAATAAAAAGGGATAATTTTCATTCCTGATAGATTATTTTGGTTAGTATTTCTTATATGAAATGAGTCACATAGATGGATGCTGGTACAGTAGAGCAATGTGCCCGCTGCACTATTCGAAGCATAATACATTTAGAATGAGCCCTTGGGGAAACTCCAGTTTCTGAAGTTCTAGAGGCATTGTTTGAGGATATATGTATCGTCTCTGTGGCACATACTATGTATTATTGGATATGTTGACTGTAAGCCTCACAAAAACCATCAAGGAAAGGTTAATTATCCACACAACTCATAAATGCACAACCAGGATGCAAATCTAGGGTTAGATGAAAAGTCTTTCCTTACCCTTTCCTGCCATGGTGTCCATTGAGCTAAACTATTATTGATGTATATGTGTGCTAATTCTCATTTAGGTTGTCATTAACCAGCCTGGTTGTCCACACATAACCTTGAATATCAAAAGTCCCTGAAACATTTTGGCAGTATCTTGTGTAAAGGAATTAGAAGAAATTACATTTAAAGTAGAATGCTATAAAGTTGATATAAAACATATTGAGATAAGGTGAAATGGAGTATGAGGTGAAATGAAGGAGCACTGGTGAAAGTTAAACCCGAATTAGGAAAAATAGAAAAAAAATTTGTCTGACCTGTTTTTAAGATGCATATATTATTGTAAAATAAATGCACAGTTGTATCTCATCTATTATAATGGAATAGCATGTTTCCCATTTAATTCACATTCAAGGATAAGAGGGGAAAAGATTTTTAAAATTCAACCAGACCAGTTTGTTCATTTTCAGATGAGGAAACTGAGGTATAAATTGTGTCAGTAATGTTTTCAATACCAGTCAGATTCAGTGGTATATAGTACACATGAAAGTTATAAATGTTCAATAAGCCACAAAAAGTTGCAGTCCTGTACAGATCTAATGAAGAAAAGGAGTCAAAATATATCTCTGCAATACTGTGCTTTAAGTTTTTATTTTTAAAAAAAGCAATTCAATTTGAGAATCATAAGTGGTTTGATATTCAATACTTACATGAAATAATTTTAAATTTAGATACAGAGTTTACCAAATGTTTTCTTTAAAAAAAAAATCACATATTAGCTTTGTATAGCTATGGCCAAATTTCTTTATGATTACTGCAAAAAACAGTTTTCTGGGAAAAATTCATTACTATACCTTTAGTTATTAGAAATAATCCATTTCACTGGATTCACTGTTACAACAAATTGTTTGTGCTTTTCAGTTATTAATGTTCTCTTTTAAAAAATTTTCTGTAGACACCATTATTCATTTCTTTAATGTGTACGGTAACTCAAAAATAATCCTATCTGCAGAAAAGTCAGAATAAATGCTTGCTCAAGGGTACTGCTAACTTATGCAGAGTAGATTTTATTTGGTCAACATGTTTTTTACTTGGTTAACTGATTATTTAACGAGAAATCCCCTTAGCAAGAAACGTGAGATGCAAATGCTATTGTAATAAAAAAAAAAAGACCTTTCAAATGATTTCCTCCAATTGCATACAAGCGATCATTCATTACAGCCAAAGTGTGGATTGCACGTTTTGTGTTCATATCTTGTTTTCGAGCCCAGACATCCATTACGGGGTCATAGCAATATAGCCATGGGACATATTCTCCATTGTGCACACCCCCTGTGAATTAAACATATACATACAAGTTAAGCAAGTGCCTTGGAACTGACCCTTGGAACAGATAGTTGAGGAATGACTTGCCTGAAATGTATATCTTCCCATTGTGCACTGCTCCTGCATGAGCTGCCAGAGGCTGTGGCAAAGAGGACACATAGCGCCATTCATTTGTGTCCAGGTTATAGCACTCCACGCTGGACAAGTAGCCGGTTTCATTCCTCCCACCAATAACATATAAATGCTTGTCCAATCGACATGCATAGAAACTGGCTCTTCTATAATGGAAACAACAACACAGTGAATCACAGAAGGAGCTGTGAAGTGCCACCTTTGAAAAAGGATAAAGACCCCCAGTCCTTCAGGGAAAGGAGGTACAGCCTGCTTCATAGAGGGCTGCAAACTTTTAAACATCACACATCTACTTTTGAAATCTAAGGCTGGATGGAGTAATCATAGGCATTGGCCATTCTGGTTAACATTTTTGATATTAAAGCAGTAGTAAAGGAGAAAATCATCAACTCTTTGTTTCAGCTCTTTTTATTTTGTTTTTTATACACTGTGAAAATGTTCATTAATGTTTGGGATGTTTGGTACCTTGTAAGGATATCACAGCTCAGTGAGACAAAGTGAAAAATGAGGTAGATAATGTAACAATAATAAATTATCTTGACATTCACTTTCTTTATGGTCCTTCAAGGGTCATTGTTCCCAATTTATAAGAGAACTACATCATCAAAATTTTTCTTCAATTATCATTTTTTTCTTTTTTTCTCTTCTTAGAATTACTGTAAATAGAATAACTTTTGTGAACTTCACATAATGCTCAAAATTTGCTCTTCTATAACCAATTACAGGAATTTCATCTAAGTAGCTTTGGTATTGATTTTTATAAGGTTGTTGGGTATTTTTAAAGTTTCTTTTCAAGAGAGGCTACTGACTACATTTTCCTACTATACCATCCAAAGAAAACAATGAAATCTGCTTGGAAAGGATGGAAGATGAGGGGGGACAAATTCGGAGGTAGGCCATAATTTAGGAGTGAGATACTGGGGACCTGAATTAGGACTTTAGTAGAAGGAATGGGAAGGGGCAACGCAAAATATGTGTTACAGGAACAAGACGTAAGACTTGTAACTAAAAAGGTGTGAGAGGTAAGAAAGAATACAGGTTCAAGAGGACTAAGAAATTTGGAGTTAGGATGATTACATTAAAACTTCAGTAAATCGTGACCCTTTGCTTTATTTTTCTCACTGATTCTATTGGAATAATATAGTTCACAAGAATAATATATGGTCCAATATTGAATAAGCATAATTGTTAAGTGCCAAGCCTCCCTGGAGAACATAATTTATGTTGGATGAATTAATGATCACCATAAAAATTGATGCCAAGATTCTTGTGTAATGTCAATTACAAGATGAGGAGGGCTAGAAGTTTATAGCAGGCAAACCTATATTCTTCAGAGATTTTCCAGATTGTTTACAGAGTGCAAAAAGCATCCAGGAGTCAGTATAGTCTTGACTAAGAGTTGATTTCTGGGTGAGAGGGCCTGGCTCTGTGACTGACCAGAGTGTGACCTTTAACATGTTACATAATCTCATTCGGGGAGCTGGGGTTTTAGCTCAGTGATCCCACCGCCTGCCTCACAAGCACAAGGTCCTGAGTTCGATCCCCGGTACCAAAAACAAACAAACTAACAAACAACCTCCCCCCCCCAAAAACAACAAAAAAACCCTTTATCTTGTTCTCAGATTGCTCACCATTAACATGGGAGTGATAATGGTACCTTCCTCACAAGATATTTGTGAATATATAACTGCTTGTCATCGTGTCCAATATTTTTGTCATTCTCAGGAACTATCAATTAATATTACCTGGATAAAAAGTTTTAAAAAATTGGATATCAAAATATTTGCATGTGAACTTTTCCTAATAGTATTTAAGTGATCACTAAATTCCTTCATGATAGTTTAGATGATTTATTGCCATATAGGTATAGTATTTCTTATAGATGACAATATATTCAGTTTTCTTTTAAATTATAGTTTTAAAATTGTCCTGATAGCCATCATTGATAATTTTAGAGTAATATTTTAGCTGTTTATTTTTTCTAGATTTTCTTGATGTATTTCAAAGAAAACATGTTTTTGAAAGTAGGAAGGAAAACAAAGAGCAAGCAAGTCAGATTTCATAAAGTAAGGATTGTTAATGTGGCTCCATGTTTTCTAAGAGGTCTATGAAACTGAAATTGTAAAAAATGTTGTATTTTAAAGGACATAAAAATTTTGGGAGGAGGATGTTTCATGGCTTTTAATCAGACCATCAAGGGAATATGATCTAAAAGTTTTAATTTCCTGAAATAGGAGAGTAAAAACTCATCGAAATATAAAATTAAGTTTAAAAACAGTTGTAAAATTAAATATATGCTGATGGACAACTTATTTCTTCCATTTCTCTAGTTAGTTTCCCCTGGCTCTCTCATTAAATTTGAAAGGTCAAAGTCATTTTACTCTTGCTTTGACCTTCTCAAGTTGAAAAGAATAGCACGTTTCTAAAAAAATCTGTCCTAAAATGACAGATACTTCTTTGTAAGCCTGACTCAGAGTAGGTCAATATACTTCTTTCATGTAGTTCTATGACAGGTTTTGGGGATGCTGAAATAATAAATTTACTTATTTCACTAATGGACCATCTCTAAATAATTTGGACTATGTGGGTTGGAAGGTATTAATGGTGAGTTGACTTCTATGCAGTACTACTCTAGAAAATGCCAATCAGTGTACTTATTTAATTGAATTTAGATTATAAAGAATAACAGAAAGATCCCCTTGGTAGTATGAATTCCTTTTCTCTAGGCAACTTTCACATTTTCTTACTTTTTCTGATCGGGTCCCTTCCTCGCTGTGACACTGAGTCAACCTGTCAGGACATGGTGTCATTTAGCCAAGACATTAAAATGATGATCTATGTGTACTCCTCGCATTATCCACACAGTGTCACTGTTAGGATCTTTATGGGAAAGAATCAGTAGGTTTAACTTCCTTACTGAAAGTGCATTTTTATATAGAAATTTCAGTAGTGAAGATTGTGAATCTTTGCCTTATTCTCTTGCATACCCAAAGAGAGAGTTCCTGAAATGCATTAAAGAAACACTGGACTGTTAATGGTCTGCCAGCAACTGTGAACATTTATTGTTTATTCAAGGCTAAAGTTTTACTAGACCAGAGGCCTCTTGGAAATGCTCCTTCCTCTCCTCCCCACATGAAGTATATACTTGGTTTAGGCTATTTTGTATTTCTTGAAAAGTAAATTCAAGATAATTTAACATTTCTTAGTGCGATTAGACCATGTGTAGAGTATTTAAAATTGTTCATTTTACCTTCTTTCTCCTCTCCTCCCCTGCCAAAAACAATATTCAATGTCTCCATATTGAAAAAGTCTAACAAATAGCTTCTACTAATATACATTAAACCTTGTTTATCTTGCAGATCTTTACACGTTCTTGCTAGCCTTTAGGAAGATCAGGTTACATCCTAAAGCATGAGATTGAATTACCACAACCTCATCTCAGTTTGGATTGTTGTCTTCCCTTGTCAGGTTAAAAACAACAACAGATTTTTCAAACAGAATGTTATCTCCTATGGTTTCTTGTAAAACTGTTAGAAAGAAGATCTTTAATTTGGGAACATTTTTGACATATTAGCTTTTAGCCTTTCACTTATACTGTGAAAAATTCTCCATTGTTGCTCTACAAATTGCCTTTTCTTTTTTCCATCTTTTAAACTAGCTAAGGGGTAAGATCTACATAAGAATAACACTTAAAATGTCTGTTTCATTTTAAAAAAATTGAAGTTACCAAAGCATTTATATTGATCCAAGTTTTCAATTTTGTTCTCCTTCCTATTGCAGAATCAAATCCTGAATCTAAGACCAAAATAATTCATCAACATTGCGTCTGAATGCATATTTTCATCCAATCATTCATCAGTCAATTTACAGCTAGCAGGCGGTCAGTAAATTCAGGAATTGACCCATGATTGAATAAGCCCAGAGATCATGTGCCCACTTCCCTGCTGGACTAGGAGGGTATCCAGCAGGTTATTATACTCCTCTGGGAGCTCCTATTAAGTGAAGTATCTCAGGAATCTGTCCAGCCAGCTCTGTAAGAGTGAGTTACAAACACTGGATGTGGGTTACAATGTGTTTTTATTATTCTCCATGAGTTTGGTAACTTCTCAGTATAATTTCTCAGCATTTTGGTAGCAGCATAATGGAAAGTGGAAGATAGAGGAGCTTCTAGTTTGATTCATAATCTACATATTGTAAAATTAACTCAATTAAATGTTTCAATAAACTTCTGAGTGTGTCATATACTTTTGTATTTTTCTTTAACATTTAACCACCAATTAGTCCACTGATGGTCCTTGCTTTGTTGAATGGAAGGCTGGCAATGACAGAAAAATTCCACTTGAAGTTATGGATTGCTGCTTGGGTCAACCAACCCATAGGAGAGATGGAGCTAGAAGATTGACTGGGCATTTGTGAGATCTGCCTTTTCCCACTCAGCTCTGTAAGGAGCTCTTTATTTGGTCTATCGACTTGATTGTTCTAAATCTAAAAAAAAAAAAAACTTCTTTTACTAGGGACCTGACATGATATACCATAATGACTTCGAAAGAAACGTTAAACAGTCCATCCTGTCAACGGTGGCTGCCGGGCGCCGACAGACCATGGCAGGTCTTTTTATCAGGTCAATGAGCTGCTAAAAATTGTCTAAGTAGGACCCTGCCACGATAGGCCATAGCGCCTCAGAGGAAGTCATTATAGACTATCAAGTAAACAATACACATTTTTAAAAAAATTACTAATTAGGTTTTGCAGCAATACTTCCCATCCTTAGGGGCTCTACAGTGAGATAATTGACCGCAACGTGAGTTATGCCTCCCCAGTGGAAGGCATGAAGGTTAATTATCGTGGTGGTGTACAGCCCCCAGCAAAGGGGACCATGGTGATGAGATGATCATATTTCAGACATATATTGATAGTTATTTTTAAAATAAAACTTTTTTGTATGGTTTTGATTAAAGGGCAAAATGATGCAGCTATACTGACAGCAACCAGTAAATCCCCCTGCATCCCCAAAGAAACAGGGTGTTCTGGAGAAAAACATTAGGGATCTTCTGGTTCAAGAAGTTTGTCAGAATATTTGTCAATAATTATTTCTTGATAGGTTTTTGAATTAGACATTCCTTTGTGTATTAAATCTCATTTCCAGTGTATAGTTTTAGTCTCCTGGGAATTTTAATATATTTATATGAGATAGATATTGAGCATTTTTAGAATGTACATTCATATTATCTTGCTATAGTAATGTATGTATCTGAATAAATGATAAATTCTGAAAATTTTGTTTTCACTTGGAATTTATGATTAAGGTCCTAATTCAATCTCAATATTAATCTACTTGAATGTTAAGAGAGATATTCAGGAGGCGGTCAAGGCAGAAAGAAGAAAGAGAAAGAGTGCTGCTGTTTACTTCCTAAATAACTCAGTGGAGAAGAAGAAATAGTGGATTGTCACTACTGTTGGAGAATTGCTCAAAAGGATGTCCAGATATTATTTTAGTAGAGTCAAATGTTCAAACTCTAGTATGCTAATTTGCACATGTGTATAAAAACATAGCTTCACACCCAAGTGACAGCCAGGAGAAACAAAGTATGTATAAATATAGTAGCCATCTTGTCCTTTGGTAGTGAGGAGACTTGGGTGAGATAAATATTCCACACACAAAAAGCAAAATGATACTTTGAAGGACTATTTTGTTTAAAGTCAATGAATGACCTATTCCTGAAGACATTTAGTGAAGCAAATGAGTCTTAGAATTTGCTATTGAAATATTAAGTTTAAATAAATATTTAAATTTCCAACTTTACTATTGAATATTAAATTTAATATTAAATAATTTAATTATTAATATTGAAATTTCTGCATCGAAATACCTATCATTGTGAGGATGGTATTTTACAAGGTGTTATCAAAAATACCATGAATTTTTAAATAAAAAATTACACTAAAAGATACATTGCCCTTAATTTCCCTCAAAATACTCCCCCTTATTTCAAACACATTTATCCTATCATTTTTGCCACTTTCTGAAGCAGTTCCAGAGGTCCTTTTTCCTAAGTGTTTTGTGTGTTTAGTTGCACTGTCCTGGCTACCTGGATGTCTTGAATAGCATCAGAATGTTTAACTTTAATGGCCATTTTAACTTTGGAGATGAGCCAGAAGTCACACAATGCCAGATGTGGTTAAGAAGTTGGATGAGGACACACTATAATGCTTTTAAGAGCCTTTGGATAGCACTTGGCAGCTGCATTTACTATATTTTTGATCATGCCTTCAAAAAACATTTATGAAACAGCACTCCCAGAACTGCTTCAGGAAGTGGCAACAATGTTGGGATAAATGTGGGGGAGTATTTCAAGGTGGATTAATGACAATGTGTTTTTTACTATATAATTTTTTTCCACTTAAACATTCACCGTATATTTTGATCACCTAGTTATTTTGGTTTTAGGATTTCAATATTTTTTTCACTGAGGAGTACAGCCCCTAGAATTATAGCTCTATTTGTAAAATACAAATCAAAGCATACAAATCACATAAATATTTTCTTTCTACATTAGGATAACTTGACTTATTTAATTATTTTTCCTCTATTGCATTAACAAGGCAGATGATCTAAATTGTAGGGGCCAGGTTTTGTATTTTGCTTCTCCTGTTTTTTATTGACTATGCTTAGTATTCCTTACCAAGTAAAACCATCTAATGCTGCCTTAAAAGCAGTCCCAAATGTTTCACAGAGAAGAAATAAACACTTACCTTTCTTGCATAGGAGGAAGTTGAATCCAGCTATTAAATCGGGGATCGTATCGACTGACAAAATTCGTACTATGTTTTCCTGTAAAAATACATTTGAGACACTTAAAACTTACATTCCTTTATTAATTTGCACAGTTAGCTGTCTTTCTTTCTTCCTTTCTTTCTTCCTTCTTCCCTCCTTCTTTCTCTCTCCCTCTCTCTCTCTGGTCTTTCTGTTCTTAGGTTTAACAAGTAGATGAATTATGTAGAAGGATTACCAAACATAGCATGAAAAGTAATCAGTCAGAAGAATGAACATACCTCTTTGAGTGTTTCCCCTTTTTCACTTTACTGCTTTTGGAATGAGTTATGTAAAAGTAGATCAACCAACCCATAAGCATGTATGTTTACTAAACTGGTTTTTATCATAGTGTCAAGGTAAAAATTTCTGTATTTTGGTATTTTTATGTTTTAAAAAGAAGTTACTGTCTATAAATATCAGTTCCAGAGATTATTTTGTATGCTATCTCTGGTTAGACTCTTAAAAAAAAACCTCTTGTACGCTTTTGTTTTTTACTGAATAAAACATTTTAAATACTTTTTTTTAAAAAAAGAAGTAATGTTCACAGCAAAATAGAAAGTACACAGATTTCCCATATGCTCCTTGCCTGCACACTTGCCTAATTTCCCCCATTCTTAGAATTATTTTTACTGACCCTGGAACCCTAGTGTGGTTGTCTTCTGTCTCCCGCAGACATGATGCCAATAACTACAGTAACAGTCTGAGCTGGGAAATCAGCTTTGCTCCATGCATATCATGTGAGTTTTGTGTGTGTGTTTGGGGGAAGCACAGCTGGTGTGGTGTATGCCTAAGCACATTTGCTGAAATGGGAAGCATGAACCTTCTGAGCTGCTTATCTGGCTTATTCCCTCTGCTGAGCCTCAGAAGCATCGAATGCCTCCATGGTACTAACATGAATCTTATTTTGCATACATATTAACATCAAAGCAAGAAATGGAGGCAAAAGAGTGCATTATATTTTCCATATGACTAAACATTGAGACATGGGTAGCAGACTTCACCACAGGAGTAAATAGCGTGTGTGTGCGTGTGTGTGTGTGTGTGTGTGTATGTGTGCGTGCATGTGCTCAAATACATACTGAGCACCTACTATGTGTCATCTATTGAGGCTCTGGACATGAACTGGTATACAAGAAAGACAAGATCCCTGCCATTATAAAAAATAAACAATATAATGCCAAATAGAGAATAAGATAAAGCCAGGAGTGGCAGAGAGAAGGCCAGTTGGAGTAGTTGGTCACCTGCTTAGAGATGTCTGCTGCAAGTTATGTACATATCTGCAGAATGGGCCTCATAGGAAGTGGGGAAAGCAAGTATAAGATCCCTTGGTTGGGGATGAGTTCTGAAACAGCAATGTTGGGGTGACTGGGTAGAGAGTTGTCATAGTTCAGAACACAGTGTGTCTTGTGGACTGATTTAGGACTCTGTATTTTGTTATAAGAACAATAAGAAGCCACTGGAGGGCTTTAAGCAACTGAGGAACATGTTACATTTATCACTCTGGCTGGTGTGTGAAGAACAGTCAATAGAAGAGCCACTGTGGGAGCAGAGGAACTGTTAGGCTGATGACAGTTTGAATGAAGTTGGAGGTGGTGAGATATAGTTAGTCTTGAAATGCATTATACAGGCCAAGCTGGGCCTGGATATTGGTATGAAAAAAAGTGAGCCATTAAGGACAGCTGGCAGGTGTCCAGCCAGAGTAATCAGATGGAAGGCCATGCCATTTATGGGGTGGAGAAGAGCAGGTAGGTGTAGGCTAGAAGTTGGGGGTGGGGAGAAGTTATGAGCTCTGTTTCGTGCTTAACCTTGAGAGATCTATAGGATCTCAAGTAGGAAGCATCTGGTAGGTTACTGGCTAACTGAGGCTACAGGTGCAAATTTTGGGGTCATTAGTTCAGAGCTATTATTTAAATCCATGTGATTGGATAAAACCAGTTTAAGGAGAGGGTATGGAATTAGAAGATAATGGGTCCTGAGAATGGCCCCTGGGATAGACGAAGAAAAACTAGCAAAGGGAAGAAGTTTTCAGAAAAGCATGGTATTTTAAGAGCCAGGTCAAAAAAAGAAGGGGCTGGGCAACTAAGACTTGACCATAGGACTTGGCAATCTGAAGGGCATTGATGACCTTGACAAATGTTGTTTCAGTGAATTGGTAGGGGTGAGAGCCAGAGTGGGGGCTACTCAGGAGAGACTAAGATCTAAGAAAACAGAAGTAAGAGGATAGGGAATGCTTCTTAGGACTTTTGCAATCAAAAGAAGATTATAGCTAGAAGATAACATTGAAGGAAAGGCTTAAATCCGTAAATACTGAAAAGTATTTGAGCAGGCATGAAAGAGTGAGGAACAGACCTCAGATTGGAGGAAAATGGAATATAGAGTAGCAGTAAAAGTAGGTGAATGGATTTGATGACAGCGAGATGGAGCATTTGTCTTCTGATTGCTCCTCTCATTTCACTAAGAAGCAAGAATATCAACTGAGAATGAGAGTGGGGATTTTGGAGAAGGAGACATTTAAGGAGAAAGAGAAAAAGTGAAATAGTTTTGTTGGGGGGTGGCCTAGTGCACTGACCATGGAAATTTAGTGGGGATAACTAGCAGTTAGCAGTAGTTGTCTGGTTTTCTTAAAGTTTACATGCTAAGAAGCAAGGGAAAAGTGAAAGAGAGTTGGATTTATCCAGGATTAGCATTGCCAGGCAAGTATGGGGGGGGGAGACAGAGAGAGAGAGAGAGAGAGAGAGAGAGAGAGAGGCTGCAGGTATACACACAGAGTGAGTGGCAATAGGACATACAGTCATGGAATCGAAGCTCAGTGAGGATGGTGGTGAGGATATGAGGTGATGGATAGTGGAGTGGTGGTCAAGGGAAGGAGGTGGTATTACCAGGAAAACTGTGGCTGGCTGTCACATAAAAAGCAGAAGGTGCCATAGTCTGAAAATATCTTCCAAAGTTCCTGGGATTTTAAGCATGTGGAGTATTTGTGAAGAGGAGGGAGAAAAGCTACCAGTCTTCAATAACATGAAGTATGTGGAGAAAGGAGAGAAAACTGCACCTTTTAGAAAGGATGGCTGGGAAAGCTCAGAAAATAGCATGGCTTTGAGAAGAAAGGAAATTCACTAAACCATTCAGAGGCGAGTGAATGATTATGGGATTTTGGTGATGTGAGCTCAGAAATTCTAGAGGTCATATGGGAGAGTGGGATGGTCAGGTTGCACGTTAAAATTAGTTTTATCTGGAAATGCACAGGAAGAGATAAGAGTACCAGGAGGTGAGAATTACCAGAAGGCTTGGGTTCCACATAAGGAGGCTCTACATCAGGGAATGATTATGTCTAGAGTTGGATTGAGAGTAAATTTTTATGGAATTTGAAATCATTTCCCTTGTAGGAAAAATATTCTTAATAGTCAAGTTCCAAGATGAATTTCCAAATGCATCTGAAGACTAGTCATGTTTATAGGACTGTAGAACCTATTCCCCATGATAAGAATGTTTCTTTATGAAGTCTGGTTTGGAATTTCCATATGAAAGAAGACATATGCCTACTATCAGTAACTGGGCAGAGACTGCTTTCTTGTGCTAAGACACAGTGGGAGGAACTAGTGGAGTTCACTCCTGGATATGACGCTAATGGCCTTGGCTCAGAGAAAAGGGTCCCACAGCCTGGTGTGATAGGGATGTAAAATGAAGAAACAGTTTCCAGAGGCAGGGCCAGAGAAAAAGAAACAGGGATGGAGAACTAGCCTTCTGGAGGTGGTAAAGCAGGAACAAAGAGGATAATGAACCTTAGAAAGAGTGTGTGTAATGGAACAAGGAAGGTGAGATGAAATGGGTTATTCTCTCCTTCCTATGTCAACTACTGAGACTTTCCCAGCAGCTTGAGAGTGGTCGGATTTGCAGCAGAACTGTAGATTATCCTTCACACATTCTACTTTTTCTTATCCTTTGCATTTTCTGATTCTTTCTCTACTTCTGATATCATGTCTCCAGAAACCACTGTTGATGAGCATTTGAGTGATGTGGCACATGAGCTAGGAGCAGTAATTTCCAGCCAGTGATAGAGGGGAAAGAAGTGGGAAGAAAAGAAGTTTCTCACCAGCAGTTGTTTTGTTAGTAAGTGACAAATGTGAATTAGGTTTCTGTAGGTGGGGCACTGACAGAATATTTACATATTTATTAGAATATTATAATACATTCCTGTCAGTAATGACATAGAATCGATATTTACAATGCATCTGAGTAGGAAAACTTCTATATGTATCTGCTTATGTTTCCAGTAACTAATATGTTTCCTGACTTCAAATTTTGGCCTGGCAATCAAGATTGTCAATAAATAAAATTACAAATTTATTCAATGGCACATATTTTTGTTTTATGAGCAAGTATTGAAACTTACAAGTTTGTATTTCATTCGCAGACACACATTTCAATCAATATTTTAATAAGAACTAAAATTTACTTTAATATTTTATCTTTGGAACTGACATGTACATAATGCTTGAATACATGGATTTGAAATTTTTTCTCCCTGTGAACAATTATATTAAAGCATATTATTATAGGATTGTTATTCTTTATACATTTTGGTACTAATTTCATGAAAATATGAACATCTCATATTTTTGAGATGATTGAGTCCTTTCATGGATTTCTAAATGTGGAATGAGAAAGAATTCTTTGTGAGTGGGAGCCACTTTTGTTGTGATACAATGATTTAATTTCATAAAATCAATGGCAAAAACATGATTGTTTCTGCTATGGTTGACCAGATGGATAGACTAGCAACATAATATAGTTGTTGAAGACTAAGGCTGTGGAGTCAGACAGACCTATATTGAAATCAGTTCAGCTTCTTGTAAGCTATATCCTGGCTAGTTACTTAACCTTTAGGCTTCATCTCATCATAGTAAAATGTAAGCTATCACAGAACATGGCTCACAAAACAGTAGTGAAGATTAAGTGAAATGATACAAGCAGATGCTTAGTAAAGTTTCTGGGCCAAATAATGAATACTCAATAAATACTGCCAGTAATACTAAAGAAGTCTACTGTGGTTGACCAGATAGATGGACTATGAAGCCCTATGGAAAACAGTTATGGGATTGTGGTAGATTCTCCTGGAATTTAGTCCAGATCTCCTTATAAAACAGGTACATGTGTTCCTTAGCTGTAGTGTTGGCTGCTCCTGGTCATGGCTACTCCTTCGCCTAAACAGGCCATCTTGCCTACCATTCACCCTCATCCTCCTCCTGGGGAAGACTTTAGCCAATGACTGGCTGATTGACATGGGACACAAAAAGCCAAGCTACTTGCCTCGGGGACAGCCAATCCTTTCTATTTGGAAGAGCCACATCAGTGGTTCATCTGGGCAAAGGGCCCAGATCTATGCTAAAAGATAGCATGTGCCAAATAAGTCAGGGGTACAATGAGGGATCTTAAAAAAAGAGAGAGCTGTCAGGCCTACATTGAGTCTAGGAGTAAAATTAAAATGAAAGCTTTGCTAAAATTTAACTCGGGGCTTTCTAGTGGTAAAAGCAAAGAGCAGAGGCACAGTCAGACACACAATTAGCATTAGTGATCATTATTTTAAAAGCACACAATGCTTCAGCACTTTGGTTTGGCAAGAATTTATCACATGAGTCTGCACATGGAGCACACTGAACGCTGACAGTGAATCACATCCCTATGGTCCAGGCAGGTGTGGGTCTTCAGGAGTCTTAGTACAGTCATTCAGGGCTGCAAACCCAATTGCTGCTTCTCTCAGAGGTGAGTGGAGGAAAATCAGTGTAGTCCAATGGTAGAGTTTTCTGAGGAGTTTGCATTAGCTCCAGGATAAAATCTTGATCCTCAAAACTTTAAAGAACATGTTCTTTAAACTCTGCCCTATCTCCCACCCAGTTCTCTCAGATGTGTTTTTGATCTGAAGTTGAAGACAAGCAAGTACAGGTCATTTTTTTTTTTTTTGGCCTAATAATGGGGAGCAAGTTTTTCTGAGTCACTGATTAAGGTAAGATTTGTAAGAATGGGAGATTCATAGTGTTTTTGAAAAACTGAGTTGGACCAAGACTGGATATTTTAGCAGAGGCCTAGCCCACTTAGGAGGAGGGGTAGGCTGAGAGCATTGTGGTCTGAATTAGGACTCGCCAGCCTTAAAACTTGTCAGGTTTCAGCGTTAAGGTGGCCTTCTGAAAGAATGTTCTGTGGATTCTTTGCTTAGATAAACCTGATGGCTGTCCAAAATGTTCCACGCAGTCCCAATCCTTGCTGGGGAAGGCTCAATTAAACAGTAAATGGTGAGTTTACAGTGGATTGTATGTAAGTCAAGGTCTTCTGGTAACACATGAAATCTGTCCTTATGAAGGTAAACTAGGGCAGAAATGTTAAATATCATGCTTGCTCCTATTCCGAATCTGTTTCTTACAAAACCCCAGGAACTGTCTCTTTCCTGACACTGGAAAATGAGACACAACAAAGCTTCAGCTTGGGAAATAATAAGATCCCGCCCCCCCTCGCCTTTCTCAAAAGAAATGTGGGTGGCCTGGATTGTTTTCCTTCAAGATTCTCTAAAGTGAACAGATGTAACAATTTTTCTATAATTTGCCTTGGTGCAGATGCTGAAAGAGAGCACTCACAATAAAATATATGCTGTATATGTAATTTCAGTGAATGTTCTGGGGTTTTAAAGTAAAAATGTGTACCTGCAAGCTGTTTTATGGTTTCTCCGTCATAATTATCTCTGTTACACAGAAGGCTACAACTGCAACTCCTCCTTCATGTGCAAGCTTTCCAAAAATATCTTGATAATTTTGCATATTCTATAAGGCACAGTGTTCTCCTTGTGTTTGGCTCGGGAAGTGTGTTAACAGGTTTACTTTCTCTGTGCAGTGCATTTATGAAGTCATCACACGCATGGGAGGATGGTGGCTGACCTATGGACGAAGCACTTGCCAGAGGTACCAGCCTGAGATGATGCTTCAGTCAGACCTGCTGCGAAATAACCAGCTAGAGTTACATGTAGCATGACTAGAGATGATGCTTACTGATTGCAACCACATTATCATATTGATAAAATGGAAAGAAAGTGGCAGAGAAGGTGGTGAGGATTCTTAGCAGCTGCAGCTCACTACCTTCCCCTGGGGAGTTTGTGCTGATGCTGTGGTTTTCCTCAGGGAATGGCCAGGGAGAGGGGCTGGGCATCACTGGGAAGCTAAATCCCCAGAGAGTCCATGAGTGATTGCTTTGCTACATCTGTCTTCAGTTAGCTCGATGATTGACCTTCCCTCTCACTGTCAGCCCAATTTCTTGACTACTTCATTTGTCCCTATTACACAGAGATAGTTTCCACACTAATTCCAAAAGGGACTGACTTATACTTGTCAAGCACTGCTGCAGTTTAGTGAGTGACTCCCAATGGTGTCTGTGTTGAAGGCTTGGTCCTCAGGTCGGTGCTATGGGGAGGTGGTGGAACATTCATGAGTTGGGGGGTTTGAGGGAGGTCCTTAGTTCACTGGAGACATGTACCCAGAAGCCATCGTGGGACCCTGCCCACCTTCACTCTCTCTGGCCCCACCTGTGATATAACTGTGTATGTACTCTCACCAAGATGTGCAACCATCTGGTGCCCTCACCATAACTGAGCCATGCAGATGCCATGCCTTGGAAGCTCCAAAACCATGAGCTAAATAAGACTTTTCTCTTTCAGGCTGGTTGCCTCAGGTCTTTCATTGTAGTAATGTGAAGCTGACTGATATAAGCACCTACAATTTAAATTGTTCAATAGTTACCATTTGGATTCCATTGGTCCTCTCCGCCCAGCACGAACAAGAAGTTTTCTACCTCTACAACACAGTGGTGAGCACTGTTGTATGGCATAACTGGAATTAAGAAAAAAAATAAAGACTTGTGAACTTTTCAACATCTTATGAGACTTGATACCTTGGCTCAGCAGCTATTTGCTTCACCACAGTGTGTAAAATGTGAGCCTCCATCTGAAGGAAGAAGATGGCAGAGGCAGCAGAGCAGCTACCCACCAATCCAGCAATCCTCACACACATGCTCAGTGGTGTGTGCTGAGGTTTCAGACCCAGCCCCTTCTGATTAATTTTACATAATGTTATTCCACAAATTAGTCAAAAACAACCTGTCATGCTGCTTTCGATTCTTAAATCCTCTTCACCTGCCGCATGATGGGGATGGCATTCTAAAACAATGACTGACACTCCCAGATGGCCAGAGCTGGTGGTTACTTCTCGGAAGAAGAAACCCCAAATATACTTGGAGCCATGAAGATGTTCTGCCCAAACTTGGTTTGCTGGCAGTCTTTCTATAAACAGACTCAGGGTGCTTGGTAGCTTTGTATTCCACAGCAATGAGCAAGCTACATTTCCATACAGTTTTAAGTTTTTAAATTAAGGTCCTGCTGATTTAATGCCTTCTCCAAATGTATATGCTTAATTTCCTGTACAATGTCATTAGCAGCACAATCACACATTTTCTATCTATCTGCATAGGAGCTCTTCTGTAACAAAGATGAAAACTATCAGGAACATCACAAATATTCACTTCCCTACTTCTCCCTTCTCCCTCCACAATGGCAGTGGCTTGGAGGAGAGGGTATTATTCTCAACCACCAGAGCCAGGTTTCTCTGTATTTTCTCTCATCTCCATCTCCTTTGAGGAGTCATAATGGGCAGCACAGTGTACCTTGTTACCTTTTGTGATGTGCAGTGCTCGTTGCTGCTATTATGGGATCAAAGGGTAAATGTATGCAGCATTAGTTATCATAGCACATGCAGTGGTTTGGGCCAGTGACACCAGTAGGAAAAATGATGTCCTTGTTCAGCTCATCACATGGGCACCTTAAATCTGTGTGAGGACAAATGGGGAGGTGATGCACATGCTCAGGCAGGGAACTTACTGCTTGACACGGATCAACAGAGCACTTAAGAAACCAGTGCAGTGGGAAATCAATATGAGTATGGGCCAACTCTTACTCTGTGCTTTTTGCCAATGCAGAAAAAGAGAGAGGGAAAGAGAGAGAGAGAGAGAGAGAGAGAGAGAGAGAGAGAGACAGAGAGAGACAGAGAGAGAGGCTATATTACACCTGACTTATTTTGGGTGCTATATATCTTTCATTTCATTTTGTTTTTATTTTTCTCAGAAAACACTTATACTGGGTAAAAAAATGTAAAAATAAGAAACTGGCATAGCTTTGAGAATGGTAACTCATCAAATAGTTCTGAAAGAGCAAATCCGACCATTTAAACTTCTTACCAAAGAACTCTAGGAGTTTTGATTAATTCATTTTTACTGCAAATACTCATTGTTTTTGAAGTTATATCCATAAGGGAGAAGGTATTGATTGGCACACAACCCCTGATTTTTGAAGGTGCTGTCGAAATTGGGTTTGTGTGGTCCATGGATTAGATCAATGAATTTAGAGTCATCTCAGGAATGTCTTTAACCCCTCAGTCCTCAGTTTAGCCCTTTGGAGAATACTTTCAACTCTATAGATCCTGTTGGCTTCACCACTCAAAATTCACTGGGCACAATATACGCTGAGTTCTGTAAGGAACTAAGGTTGAATATGTTTAAAAAATTTGTTTTTAAATTAACTCACAGCTTGAATTATTCCGCTGGTTTCCAAAAACAAAACCAGTTTGCCCATTTAGTACATTGTGAGAGGTCTGTGCCATGCCAGTTCATCCTAACTTTCTCTGGCCATGGAAACTGTTACAACTTCACTCATGATCTGTACGTATCAACTCGCATGAGACACAACGCAGGGTCAGCGACCACAAACCACTGCCAACTCACTCCACCACCTCCACTCCTCATGTACTTATTTTACACTATTGGTTAGCCCAATGCCCAAGTCTTTTAGAATAATGAAAAATTGTGTTTTCTTCTCTTTCACCATAAGTCCAGCTTCATAATAAAGCACAGTCTCTGAAAATAAAACAACATTTATGTTTTGTTCTTACCATTCATTTGCTTCTATTCAGGCAAGCAGAAATTAAGTGAAAGACATAATACGTGATTTATTTTTAAGCCTCTTTCTCATTTGATTACTCCTATTGTTGTGCTTTATGCAAATAAATGAAACTGTTATACTAAGCTATTAAACTCTTCACAATAAGAGAAAAGAAGGTTTTTGAAGTCCTTATATAAAGACTACTGGAAGGCATTCTCTTAATCTACATATTTTTACTCTTATTTTAAAATAGCATATGTTAGATTTCTTGGTTGAGTATTTTAATATTCTCATTCCCGAATTATTTTCAGAAGTAGTACCATGAAGTATGAGGCTATAAACATATACAACTAACTCTGTGAAATTATTTTGAGCATAAAATGCTCCCAAATTTATTAAAAATTTATAGTGAATCAATGTCTGAATTTTTCAAAAGACCTAATTTCTTTGACTTCTGATTAAACCTAAAGGGAAGACAAATAAATAGGGCAATGAAGAAGAGCGCACAATGTGTTTAAAATGGCACTGGGTGCTGCGTTTCCGATTCTCTTCTAAATAACACCAGCTATGTCCCTGCCTCTTTCCAGATTTCTCCAGAGTTGGACACCGGCCTTGCCCTCCCAGCAGGTAGTGGAGGAGGTTTGTACTCCATGTGCATGTACAGCCCAGTGTGAGTTTTTAGCGTGTCAGTCAGTGAGTTAGAGGGAAAGGGGAAAGAGAAGCTAATCAGGATGAAATGAGATTAAAGGCTGTCTAATTTTACAGCAACTGTGATCCATCAGCCACTGTGAAAGTGACAGTGGAAATGAATGATGGAGACAGACAGGTGGGGCTGTACATTTCACTGATTTATCCTCAAATGCACTGGGCCTTATTTTATTGAGTGAACATGACCGCATTTATCATGACTGTCATCGAAAGCCACTTCCCTCCATTTAAAAAGGTCACTTTACTCAGAGGGAGTAGGAGAGAGGCACTTTCAAATCAGATTTAAAATCTAATAACACGTGTTTATAAAGCCCTTTGTGAGAATTCTCAACTTTATTAAACAAACTAGTAGAGCCGGAAAGAAAGAAGAAAAAAGCCAGAAAAAAAGAAAAAGATTTGATCATCTGAGGGAGCACCTTCATTTAGTCTCTAAATGTGAGGCAGTTTGTGCCAGTTTTGCTTTTTCTACTCCAATCACCTGACATTCTGTTCTAGTCTGGGTAATTCCATGAAACATTTACATTTAATATTTTAAATTAATAAAGTAGGAAACAGGTAATACTATAAAATAATAAACTTGGAGAGGATCAGTCACAGTATTTACTCTGCAGAATGAGTAATCATCGCACGTGAAATAGATGTTAGCAACTGGTACAAGCTGATCTCTGCTACTATTAACTTCCACGTCTGTTAATTGTTTTCCCATCATTCTAAGGCCATAAAAATCTCAGTCACACAAAGTCTTTTATCCCTTCCTGTACCTGTGCAATAAAACATCTTGGATTGTTATGCACAGAATTATTCTTTGTGGGTATGAAAGTGGAGATCAAACCTTCAGGAGTATTATGTGTTGTTTTTCACAATAATAACCACTATTTACTATGTCCCATATGCATGTAAATTGAATATGTAATTGTATTTCATATTTCCCTGCATTATATCTCTGAAAATATAAAGTGTTTAGTTTTTACTACTCTTTTGCTTCCAATCAGGCAAGCAGAAATTAAGTGAATGGGATAATTCACGGCATTATAATACATAAGAAAATATGATATATGATAACATACTGTGATCCTACATATATTTGTTTACATCTTTCATTTAATACAACTAACTACGAAGCAGACATTGCTCATTCATTTTATTTCTATAAGAAACACTGAGGCCTTGAGAAGCTAAGTCACTTGTTGAAGGTCACACACAGTTAATGAATGGCAGGGATCGAATCCAAACACAGCCATATCCAGACCCCAACCCACGCTCTTATCCATTTCACTCTACTGATTTTCAATAGGTGTGTTCGCCCAACCAGCAAGTAATTACTGAGTACCTGAGTGTTCAGTGATGAGGTTCCTGAAATTTTGTATAATTTTTATACTGAATCATATTTTAACTGTGTTTATTAGTTTGATATTTAAAGGAATCCTTAAAATAAAGCAAGTAGGCACTCCTTTAAATTTTTTTCTCCCTGTAAATCTAAGCATTTGCGTAGTTAGTTTCTTAAAATGGAGTCCATTTGTTTGATGAAGTCAGGAACACACTGAGCACATCAGCCAGTGAAGGCTGGATGAAGCCCATCTGTACAGTTAGTGTTATTATTTTAAACAATGAGTGCCTGTTTTGACCTTGCAAGTGGATTCATGGGTACAGTGGGCCCAGAGGCCCTTTTCCTGGCACAGGAAATGTCCAGGCGCCTAGTTTGTGTGTATGCAGGCCTTAGTCTGTTTTACTGGAGACCCACACTACTTTGTCTCTGCCCATGTGTTAGCTAAGGAGTAGAAGCCTCTTCCAGCAGAAGGTATAGGTATCCTGCGCAACCCACACATTTTCATAAATGTCCAAAGGACAGACTGAGTAGGGCCAAGGCCAGAGTTTAGAATTGCTAACTAAATGGTTATTGAATGCTCATCTTTTAGGGATAGTAGTTATAAGGGCCTTGAGTTCTTTGGGGCCTCAAATGTACAACCTTGCAAAGCTGTCCAAAATGATGCTTGTTAATGTTTTTGTGGTCCTTGGTTTCCCTCCCACAGAGATTATTTATGCGAACTGTTTTTCTGTAACACAATAGCGACAGTATACTGTAGACTCACTCTGTAGTATCATACTCTTGCAATAAACAATACACTCCCTTCTTTCTCATTAATCAAATGTTGGTTCTGTGACTACTTCATTTGTGGCAGTGCTGCTCCTGTC